TATATATATAATTTTGCTGGTTGGGGACATGAACATGCATGTACTTTTATATTCAGGTGATGCTCTTGTTAGCTGAGAACTCAAATGATTTGCAGCTAATGTTAACTAGATTGTATAATGCAATAAATACAGTTCTGAAAATAAATGGATCAAAGACAAAGGTAGTTGTGTTTGACAAGGAAAATGTAGTGAGGGGTTGCAAATTGTATATATATGGCAACAAATTAGAGCAAGTAGATGAATTTGTGTATCTTGTAGCATGATTACTGAAGATGGGAATATGGATGGAGAAATTTTAAGATGTGCAAACGCTGATAGAAAGGTGTTAGCATGTGGTCTGTTATAAGGGATGAGTGCTGAAAGAAGCAAAAATGGCTTTGTGTAAGAACTTGTTTCTGTCCATTTTATGAAAATGAGAGCTGAGTATGTCAGAAGAAACATATAAGTAACTTGAGTGCAGTGGAACTGATAAAACAAACAAATAGGATTAAGAATGAATGGGCACTGAATTAGCATGAATTGAATGCAGAATAAGTGATTGGTACAAAAGAAGTACATTGAGGTGGTTCAGTCATATAAAGAGGATTAAAATTACAAAATTACACACATTAGATTTCTAAATACTACATAGCAATTTATTGGTAAGAGAAGGGAAAGGGGAAAAGGAAATATAATGTTACAGGAGAAGACAGACTTACTTCTGAGTAGATTTATATAGGATTGTGCTAATTATTTGTAAGATTCAAATTCCCATCTTTCCTTCAGAAGCCCAAGGTGTTCAGAGCTCCTTCAAATTTCCTGATAACACAATCCTATGAAGTAGATTGGGCTGAGAGTGAATGGCCTAGGCTGGACGTGATCATGGATCTCTCTAATCAAAGTGTTAGACCACCACATCACATTGTCTGTTTATATAGTTATAGATAGATATATACATTCAGAAAATGTATGAAACTATATGGCCACAATCTGAATTTTAAAACAAATGTCAGAATTGCTAATATATTGTACTTCAATTTTTTATTGTCAAATATGGATTAAAAGTGACCACAGAATGCAAATATTTTTCTCTCTCTCTATTAATTAGATTTAACTATGAAAAGTGTGAGAAATCTATTAATTATCTAATATATTCTATCTATTCCTTACTTCTTTTGCTCTAACAAGGCTTCCAATGAAAGAAGATCAGCAGTTGCAAACAGTTGACTATCCATCCTTTACATCTCTTGCTTCCCTTCTAGGTCTGCTTTTCTGCTTTCCTAGGAAATTACCAATGATCCTAAGAGTGATACTGGCAGAAGCCGAATTCCTTGCTGCGTGGGTCACTCCTGGTAGTAAAGTTGAAAGGAGAGACCAACCTAACTGGAAGGCATCTAGCTAATGAAAGAAGTAGGCTTTTGCGGGGAGGAACGTGAGTTTCATCGTTCATAGAATATCAGAGACGTGGCTAGCATGTAGAGCGATCAGACCTGGCAGCAAAAATCCATATAGCCACAAGTTGGCAGCAAGCATATTACTTTGCTGACTAGTTGTGATCCTCCGGATTTTTCTAGCTCACATCTGGTAGCTTTAGTTTTAAAATACATATCCCAAAACATCCAGGGCGGTGGTAGGAACAGTCTCTCCCGAGATCGCTAGGGATACAAAGCCAAGATAGAAAATGGTAAAAGCGAAGCTAACGTGAATTCCGAAACTGATCCTGCCGGCTACCGTAGGTACCATGTTTCCCCTACAGTTTGACTAGTTGCCTAGCAACCGTATGGTAGGGCTTAATTAACAGGTATGTAAAGGGTATTTCTCTTTGGTGGCGGCTTCGTCTCATTGAGAGTGGGAGTCGTCTCGCACCTTCTAACGGTAACACCGAGAATTCACGGGCAAAACTGCAGGGAAGCAGAGAAAGGGGCTGTCGTTTGGGATCGCAATTCTCTGCACGCTTACCTAGCAGTTCTCTAATGAATTCAGTGGGAAGGGCTTACTTCTGACGAGCAGGCATAGATACCATGGAGGGGAGGATTGCCATCCGATCCTTTTAATCAAAGGGTAGAGCCCCAGGGAATATAGCAGTCTTGGGTGAGTAAACCTGCGTAAGATTTGAGCGGCACCATAATCACCCTTTCACGGAGGCAGAAATCAGCAAATGATTTTTTCACTTCTAGTTCCCAGTGAGCAGGACATTGATTTTTATTGGTTAGGCAGCTGTTGAAGACATAATCATAGAAGGTATTTAGCAGTGTTAAAAAATGTCTTGGGAAGAGGAAGGAGAGCAGCAAACTCAGATGTTTAAACTTATAAAAATTATTTTATCTTTCTGGCAAAGAAGAAAGTGTCAAATAGCTGTTCTTTTCTGGATGATGCATGAGGCCCCGTCTCTAACATGTCATTTTGTTCTTTTGGGAAACAGGCTAGGGTCTCCATGTGCTTCTTAATTTGCAGGCCAATGATGAACCCAAAATGTGTGGTCCTTCAGCACTGCAGTCCTAATTCTCAGATGGAGTAAATGTGCTTAATAGGTGTGATGTCCTCTTTTGGCTTATGCAATGTGATTTGGAGTAAATGATTATTCTGAAAGGTCAGATTACTATTCTTTCATCCTTCAAATAAGAGTATGTGTTGGAGGTATAATAATTGTATCATTTCAGTGGGAGAAGACAACGTGAATTTTAATCTAAAAAATGCAGACTTTAATGCCCGAACCGCAAATTTATGTTGAAAGAACCTTGGCAATCATCAAGCCAGATATTATCAACAAAGAAGTAGAAATAGAAGACATAATTCTCAGATCAGGATTTACTATTGTTCAGGTAATATAAAACAAATTCGGATTTCTAATTTGTTTTTTTCAGAGCTATGCTTTCTCAAAGGAATGTCAGAAAGATATTGAGGGACAAAGCCTGATTAAAATGTATTCATGTTAGATGATACATATTACTTAGTTGTGAAGCTGCTTGTAAACTTACAGTATCTATAACCAATAGCTGTCAACAGGAGAGTCTTCAGGAACTGACTAAAACCAATGTAGATACAGCAATGCATATGTCTGTTAGAAGATAATTTTGTTGTATGCTGTACATTTTGAATGCTATAATAAATGTTAAATTTTAATAGCAGCTTTGAAATTCCAAAGTAATTGACAAACATTAATTCAGACTTAGAATATACCATAATCACTTAACAAATATTCTTGATGTTCTGATGTTTAGGTCAATTGTTATTATGTACAACTGCTTGAGCTAGATACTATTTGTTTAATCATGGAACTGCCAGTGCAACAGTTCTAGAGAAATATTGTGACTACAGATAAACTGTTAAAAATTACCACTGGATGTCACTATTTCACTACTGGGAACTCTTTTCAAATCAAAGACTATTTTTGTTTTTGTAAAGCAGCAACAATTCCTTCTCAGCATAAAGCATTCCAGTTCCTAATGTAGTAACATCAAATTTGAATGACAAGTTTATGCTAAACAAGGATTTCATGTTAAGACCTATATTTTCAGTAATGTATCATAAATTAAATTGATATTAAGAGTTAGTATTTTGAATTTATAATGCAAATGTTGAGGATGTCAAGAACCTGAAGAAGTCAGAAACTTCCCTATGACATCAGATGAACAAGTGAGAGGTCCAGGCACCATTAGCTTATCAGTGGCATCAGATTCTATTTCTAAATAGAGTTAACACTATTATCTGTACAGGCCACTTTCACATAAGTATAGTCTATTACAGTAGCTACTTTAAAATGCATCTGCATGTGTTAAACAATTTTAATAACATTCCACAAATACATGTAAATATAATTTGCAATACTATGATGAAATATGAAAATTGTCAGTCTTATATGGAAGTATGTTATTATGTAGAAAATATGTAGATTAAGTCATACATCAATACAGATTAAGTCATACATCAGTCAAAAAAAGGAAGGAAAGAGAAGGAAAGTTGAGTAGGAAAAGAGAAACCAGAATATTAAGTATCTCTCCAGCCAAGGATATTCAGGAATTTCAAGAATAACACTTTTTTTTTTTTTTTTGGTTACCAGCCACCCAGGATCAAGGCCACTGGAACATTTAGCTCAGGCTAATATTTTTTCTGTTGGGATTGTGTTTTTCTGTTTTGGAATGGTAGAGGAACAACCCTTTTCTTTCTCTGGTTTTTCTTTCTCTTCTGCCCAGTAAGTTGCTAAGGAAAGCAAAATGCTTTTTGTAGAGGTATGAAAAATTGAACATTGCTCTCCCTGGTCTGAGTAGATAAATTAATATCACTTTTATTGAACTCTGAATTGAGATAATAGAGAAAGTCTCAAGTACACTTTATCTGTGTTTTCCAATTCAGCTTAGAAATGGGAGAGGATTTAAATCCCCCCTTTTACTCCTGATTTGGATCACATGTACAGCAAATACTTTTAGGACAAGTAAAAATGTCAGGTCAGTCACAGATCCTTCATGTCACATTTAGCTTTGCTGTCAGTCCCATATATAGGGATGTAGAATGCTGATATGATCCAGGTATGTCAAATGCTATATGTGCACAACTTGGTTTCAAGGGAAGGTTAAAGACCTGATAGTAGTTTGAAATCAAGAATGTAAAGAACATTTTGTAAGCATGGACTGAATAATTACAGATCTAAAGATGATCGAAGAATCTATCCTGTCCCTTATTGGTTTTTGGTTTTCAGAACAGGAATGGTTCCAACGAGTTACAGTTACAAGTGGCCATATTTTCATGCAGATGTATGAGAAAGAATATGTCTGGCATTCTTTAACACTGTAAGTTTTCAAAGTTGAACTAGAAATTTTCAAAGATAAATGGAAATCCCAGTGCTGTTTTACCACTTATGAACATCTTTTCATAGAAGACACAGCACCTCTAGCAAATGGTCAATCTATATACTAATCAGAAAGAGCTTCATACAAACTGATTACTGTGCTTTTATAGTAGTATCTTTAGGCAAGCTATCATATTTGACGGCCTTTGAATTGTATATTTAGAAATATTTTTCATTTCCTTTATAGAAAAGAAAGCTTCAGCTAAGTCCAGAGCAATGTAGCAACTTCTATGTAGAACAATATGGAAAAATGTTCTTTCCTAACCTGACAGCTTATATGAGTTCTGGACCTTTACTTGCAATGGTTCTTGCTCGTCATAAGGCAATCTCATACTGGAAGGATCTTCTTGGACCCTCAAGTAGTATAATAGCTAAGGAAACAGATCCTGACAGGTAACTAACTTCATTCAGAGTACTTAAAACTATTTAGCTTCAAAACCTTACATGCTGTTAAATGAATTAACAGATTTTACTGCTGTACCCTTGATTTCATAAGTAGTATAGATTTAAGGCTATGCAGTGTGATTATATTACATATACTTTAAAACATTTACTGGTCTATCAGATTCAGATCTAACAATATACTGTAAAGCTTCTCTACTGTGTCTGGCCTACCAGAGTCCCCACCCCCACCCCGCCCCATAGCCAGTGCTGTCCTATATGCCTACTATATGGATTAGGACTACTTTATAGATTAGTTGTTGTTTTTTTTAATAGA